CAGCATATAAAACGCAAACTTTACATAAAGTGCCCATCACCGTTGCCAAGCGAGTTAGAATTTAGAGCTTCCAACCAATTGAAGCCACGCTTGTGAAGTGGTGGGTGTTCGTGAGCGGTGGACTTGTCGCAAGGCCGAAGGCACAGGAAGGACGCACTGGAACGTTGCCGCCTAGACATAGTTTGTCTTCGCTTGTACATCGACGCAATTAACAGAGGCACCTTCTGATCATTCCCAGGTCAATCTAGTTTTCGTCTACGCAAAGACCGCATGGACATCGGGTCTCAAGCCTCCTGGACTCTGCCGACCAGAGACCATGAATGGCTGCTCTTATATAACGCTAGTGCTTCAATGCTGCGAGCAATGCGGCAAAAAGTGACGCACCCGCGCTGAGCCCAAGGCCATCTGGTGTGTGTGTTCTACTGACAAATTGTTTCCGAGGCAGTCCTGATGCGGAAAGAAGAAAATAATGGACGACGTTGGTTCAGCACTGTGTGGAAGAATAAACACCTCTGAAGCAACGCATTGTTTTCGAAATCCGGGAAATGCTAAATGTACTATGGTATTCTCGGGCGCCTGCTTGCACCGCTACACCTTAGTTGACATAAATTTCTTACAACTTGCACTGCACTGGTGATCCATAAAATGTAGATCCTTGAGACCTTATCCGCTTATATTGCACAGTGATCAGAACTGGTGATTCTCATGCCGGTTTTGCTTCAGTCAGAACACTGCAACCCTGAAGGGTGAAAAGGGTCCACCAATTCACCGATGCCAAAAAGCCATTGGCATGGCCCCCGATCACCTGCTGACATGTCAACAGGGGTTGGCACCCAAAAGTGCCAATGCTGTCAACGCATTGATGCATCAGTAGGTGATTTATGCCTTGTGGACACGAAAAAAGAAGAGAGTGAGAAATCTGAGAATCGACTCTGGGCACTGTTGGCACCATCATCCGCTCACGTTGAGGCCATGGGCAATGACATATGAGAACGAACCATCCACACCCCTGGATGCTAATGAAACTGCTAGAACTATTGCAATTTGTGCCAGTGGGGCGCAAGATTGGAAAAGCGTGGTTGCCCTGCCTTCCCACCCTCTCCCGCATTCCTTACATTTGGTGCACCCAGGCCTTGGGCGCTTACAACGTATTTGTCCATCCCCATTCTTGGTCCCTTGCTGGCATCAATTGTGAACATTCACGGGTGCCAATCGACTCCCTTTGGGCTAACAACAATAAACACCCATGAAGGCCCAAAGCTGCAAGCAACGCAAGCAACGATTAGGATCTTCTCCCGCCACTTAGGCGGTGATGTCGCCAAAACTTTGGGCCTTGTGTTTGGCAAGTGCGCCCAGTGGACGCCACCCGTATTTTGGGGGCCATGTGATGGCCATTACTACTGCAACTTTTGGGATTTTACCAACGCTAATTGGCCACCGATGGGGCCCATCGGTGCCCCCAGTGGAACAGCAATTGGCGCCTGCAAGGTTCCAAAGATGTGAGAGTGGGAGGCGTGGATAACCCCTTCAATGACTTTGATTCCTTGGTATACATCAATGCATGGAAAAAGGGGGTCCAATCCACCCTTCCTCCTTGAAAACCCCAAACAGTGCCCATACCCAAAACACCGCATCCAATGGCTCCCATCCCGAAAGCACAGGAATGGCAGCTTCAGTCAAATGGAAATGTCAAAATTCGGCTTGAGCAACGCCAAAAGGTGCTATGTCTGATTTAGTCGATTAATTGCATCATCCTTACACAATAACTAGTAAAATAATTGAACAAATGCAATAAAAGGATTCCGCATCGCCTTCCAATATCCAAGGCCAAAGCCAAGTTTTGGCAGAAGGCGCTGATTCCAGCTGGCAAGGGCCCGACACCAATTCCCCTCCGCCTTGTGCCTATTCTGAGATGGCGACGGATGGCGAGATGACAAGATCTGATGGGTCAACACTAAAATATTGATGCCCCAACTAGATGTGACATGCGTTGGCCGAGCACTGTGCATTCGTGATGGGGGAGTGTTAAGCTCGACAGCATTAGGTATGTATGGGCTTCAACCTCATGATTGAAATTTTGTAATGGGAGAACGGCGACGTGTCCATTTCACATTCTATCAAATCGCATCCACACATGACCATAAGAATACCACCACCAGTTGGGATAACGGTTATCCAGCCTTGTGCCCTGGGGATACCGCATCTTTGTACCTTTCTGAAATGCCTATCTTCTCTGTGAACCACAGCGCCCGACCGCACACCCTCAATCCCATGTACTAATGAAGGGTGGCATGTCCAAAGATAATATCCCAAAACAATGTTTCACTTTGCAATCTTCCTTGCGTTTCGGCATGGCATTCAGTTAGTCCACTAAAATCAGTGCAACATGGCTGTTCGACTTTCTGGGAAATATCTTGTCGCCAAATGGCGCAACAAAATAATGCTGATGAGTCATCTTGCATCGGCATCAGAAATGACGCTAAGAAGAGTGTGAGGAGGGGGGGCCTCTGTGGGGAGTGGGAAGGTTGGGGCGCGCTTAAGCGCAGCATCGAATTGACGCTAAGCGCATCGAAATCGACATAGTGCATTGCCCCCTTAAATGCACACCCCGTTCGGTGAGTGGCAACGGCCGCCCCGAAATTCAAATGGCCGACACGATGATAGCGCAGCGTAGTGCGCCACTCCCCAGTGCCCCTTCGCCCCTGCAGAGGCGCGAGCACCGGCGACCAGCTCCGTGCTAATATGGTAGTACCACGGAATGGGTGTCAGTCACCGATCCCTTGTCAGTTGCATGGCAAGACAAGACAGGCACTTTCACCAAGCTGGCGATGTCGGGCAGTGAATGCAAGCACAGTGTAATGTTCCCAGAACATATATGTGTCCACCAAATTGCCCGTGTAGCTCGGTTACCTGATGTGAGGAATGGAGAGGAGGAAGTGGCCGCCTACCTGCACAGGTCGTCTGTAACGGTGTAGGCCCACTATGCAGGTAGGCGGTGACTTCCCCGCTCTCCAGTTATTCGAAATCACGGTACCGCGACGGAGCCCCTTTTTTCGGCCCGACCATTCCTTCTGCTGTACGTGCTGGCCCAAGCCAACCACATCATATATCGCAACACGAGCCTATGGATGTAACGTCAGCACAACTAAGCCATGTCGAAACGCGGCACTTATCGCAAAATGCAGAGTCCGTACTGTGCAAGTGTCATGAGATGGTACTTTTCAATACGTTTTAACAAACTTCAGGTCCGACCTGAGTTTGTGAAATAGTACTGAAAGTACTGCCAAGTACACAGATGATTGCCTGTTCGCGATGCAGGGGCAACAGAGCTCCTTAAAACCGCCAGGCGCGCCGCTAAGGAGGAGGTTTCAGGAGGGCGGACAGAGCGCAGAGATGTGGAGCAATTCGCGTTGCTGCTTTGCATGTGCGTAAACATACGAGGCGATGTTAAAATGTCCATTGCCAAATTGGCAAAGATTCCCCACATCCTCGAACACAAGCGGCCATCGAATAAGATGTGGACGGCTCATATCCGGCCAGCATTTTTTGCGAGGCTTCGCTCCGCCGAGCGGCTGCCAACGTTGGCAAATGCAGCACACACAATCATTGCTGTGCAACCGTCCAGTTGGCGTGCCAGACCCCCGACGAGAGCAGCGGAGCTTTGATTTGTGGGCCATGGACTGCAGGCGTCGAGTGCTTGTCGCAGCCGACAAACACTGCAGCCATCGGCCCCACAACTGCGCCGTTGGTTAGACGCCCCATTGCAAAGCGTCGAAGGCTTAACAACTGAAGAACATTGGAAAACTGCTAGGTGTTGCTGAGCACCCCTTGAGGGCGGGCTCTCTTGGAGAAACGAAGTGTCGTCGACCGTCCCTTGGGCTGTGGGCTGGCGCGAAACAACTTGCCAGATAGTTACACTTGCCTGACACGACGACAAAGAACACATCTGTAGTTCGGGAGAAATGGTTCATACAGGACTGCCCCTACACTGAGCGGCCATGCGTGAAATGCCTTTCCTCCGTTCGCACACGGCCTGGGCGCGTGCACGGAAGCGAGCAGTTCACGTTGGCGCTTCACAAGAAGCTATGCTGGCTAGCCTGTCCTCATCGACCAGTCGCAGCTCGCTGGCTAATCGACCCTCGGTCATAAAGCCTGACTAAAACTACTGCTGGCCAGTGAACAACATGCCAGCCATATGTGGACTGTCTTGTCAATCGTTGAAGACTTCACAGGTCGACGCCGATGCTTCCAGTCGGTGGCTGCGAACATCCACGGCATCCATCTCCTCTGCCATCAGCGCCTTCCGAGGTGCGCATCAAGCTCTGGATCTTATGGATCAATCCATGCATCTCTGGGATCAACCCCTGCATGGTCAGTGTCCTATCTCCATCGCGCAGTGGTTGGCTCATCCCGGATGCCGACCACGTGAATCCGCCTGCCCGGATGACACACACGAGCTGTGTCCGTCGACCAGATTGCAAGTCAAGCAGATCGAGCGGAGCACCGAAAGCCCCAAACCGTCACTTGTACGTCATCATCTGCGGCACACGACGGAAGTGCATCTGCCACGCTGAACAAGTACGACATTCTGCAGATCGTCAAGCGACAAGACGCCTTTGGTCACATGTGATCATCACCAGTCATTTGCATAGAGCTGTTTGCGAATGCTGGTCGTTTTGCATTTATCACAAGTGGTTTGTACCAAGTCATCGATTCGGCGATGACATTCCAATATGCACTGGCCATCAAGATGCAATTCGCATCAAGTGCAAAACATTAAGAGTGATGTTCAAGCAGGATACAGAGAAAATACTTCACAGACAAGATCGCTCGATTCGGTCTCATCTAAGCACGTTCTTACATTATTATACATCATTAAAGCATAGCTTTCAGCAGCCCATCACCATTTTGGCACAGTCAGAATGTGGCTGGACACGTTGTGAAACTGCCGCTTCTAATCAAACGAAATGGCCAGCGTCAGCCACACCTTCTGAGACGCCTTAGACGGGTGAGTCGCACTCCGTCGTGCTCCAGCCAGCACCGCTCACCGACGACACAGCACCGTCGCTTTCCATTCTTTCAGGACTGATACGGGTCCAGAGGAAACGCCGGGTCAGATACCGTGCCCCAAGGAACAGCCTGGAGCGGTCCCTGGACCTGGGGTATGTCGCCCTCAGGGAGGCCCATGCCGACTCTGCCAAGCCGTACGTGGCCCCGGCGAATAGGACTCCCGCCAGCACGCCGAAAAGGCTCGCTCGGGGCGGATTCCAACTGCCAGAGCCGGGCCACAATTAGGCACAGGCGACAAACAAGCAAGGAGCAGGTGATAAGCAAGAGCAAATGCACGCACACAGCGTTTGCAGTCTTCAATATCGCTAAATGGAAACAAACAACAGTTTGAACAAGCAACGCAACAACAGAATGCGAATTCCATGGCTGAGGTTTGTGTCAGTGTGTGGTCAGTCGGTATCGGTATGTTGTCACATACACACTACCGTGTCTGTAGAGGCATCCATAATATATTAGAACGTAGCCATCGAAATTTGGAAGCACAACAGGAAGGCGGCCGCTACCACGACCCGCAATTGCATCGACCGTGGTCGACCTGGCAGGGAGGCTAACGTCCTTCCTGTCACCTCAAGGTGCCTGTCACATCGACATGCAATTATGTGATCACAGCGGCTGCTGCGACAGCAATGCTTCCCAAAAACATATTGCAAGGCACTATCTGTCTGGCCCGGAATCTTTTTCACCATTAGTTATTGGTTGTTGCGCCACTCCTGGACACACCAAATTTGGTCCGCACTAAACATGAGGGGCAATTACTTAACCTGCTGTTGGTGAACTTCATCGCCTATATTTCATGGCAGATTGTCAAGCACCGAGCAGTAGAAATTTTAATGGTAGTCGGCAGGACCGTATTTATGTTAACATGACTAAATTACTCAATCTGATTAATCTAATGGTATCGATTGAGTTAAGTTGATGCGCTCAATTAGCTGCCAAAAGCGCTGCTACAGTTGGCACTCACTTTTGCATCGTAACTAGTATGTCGGTAATCCACAGGACGGACAGCAGGAACCACAACACCACCGCCACGTGTGTCGCTGGCCTGAGGACACAGAGGCTCAGGCAACGTGCTTTCAACAGTAAACACCGAACCAAAGAACTGTGCCACAGGCTCAGTGCTGTGACAACTTTTGCACACGCGCAAAGTACATCATGAAACAACAGCGTATGTTGCAACCAGGAAAAGCATCATTACCAATGCTAGCAATGCCATTGAGTGAAAGTACCCCCAAAGTACACAGCAACGTATGGAAACATAATAGCAGCAGCAGCCACACAGTGAGCACTGCAGCAATGACCATAGCAATGTTTTCTGGTACTGCTGTCATGCAGCAAAAGTGTGCATTGGGTTCAAAAATGTGTCGGGGCCAGGCAGTGTCACCAGAGTTTCACCCAAGGCAACCGCCAAGTGGGGCCCAAATAGTAAAGCAAAAATGCTGCATTACGATCTTAAGTATGTGCTTGTGATTAGTGTGTCCAAGATCAATGCATGGCCACGCTAACACCCAGGTCCGTCTGGGACAAAGGCGATAGGACCTGAAATAGCATTCCCACAGAATCCCAATCGCAGCTAAATTCCTGGATCCAATGGCGATCCGGCAAAAGGCACTGCCTTCAGTTACATTATCTGGCTGAGGTAAATTGAGTAACATTTGCAAAAGAACCACTATGGCACCTCTTGGATCTGAAACATTGCATATCATTAATGAATCCAGGTGCCATTACCATTCAAATGGAGAAGAGGGCCAGTGCCAGCTAACAAGAACCGCAAAGCGATGCAAAGCCCCTAAAAGGGTTGTGCATAGTCCATGACAGTATAGCAGCAGTGTCAACAATGACAATCAACAAATGTCTGAACGAATGGCCTGCCACGAGGAAGAAAGTTCGAGAGTTGTGGACCACACGTGGATGAAATAACGTAGAATATATCCCACAACACATAATCATAGCCGTCCAAGCAGTGTTGCATATTCTTCTGGCAAGTCGACTGCAACAGCTACAGTGTTACTACTGAAAACATCCATAACAACAGTGACAACGACATCAATAATAGTAATAACAACAAGGGAAAATGACAAAAGGGGGTCCTCTGCAGGGGTGTATTTGACAAAAGGAGGTCCTCTGACCGCCCCCTGTACATTAGGCGCGTTGCCAGACCGGTGCTAGACCAGCGCCAGACCGACGCGGTACCGGCACCAGTTTGGCGCCAAACCGGACCACGGTCCTACTAGGGGCGACCCCTTTGGGAGGGCGCTAGGAGCGCGCAACGGTTGGAGCTGTGGGAGGAAGTCGTAGCGATCGGAGTGGAGGCCGCAGCAGGGGAGACCAAGCGGCGATCGGGGCTTTTGGGAGAGCAAGCGTTCCGATCTGTGCGGCTCCCTCCTGGAGCTCCAATCGCCACTAGATCTCCCAAGCAGCTCCGATCACCCCTTGCTTTCACTACAGCTCCAGTCGCCGCTTGCTCTCCCTGCAGGCCCGATCGCAGCTTGGTCTCCCCCGCTGCGGCCGCAGCTCCGATCGCTACGACTCCCTGCGCCCTCCCAGAGGGGTCGCCCCTAGTAGGACCGTGGTCCGGTTTGGCGCCAAACCGGTGCCGGTACGGCGTCAGTCTGGCGCTGGCCTGGCGCCGGTGTGGCAACGCGTGTAATGTACAGGGGCCGGTCAGATCACCCCCTTTTGTCAAACGCACCCCAACAGAGGACCCCCTTTGTCACAGAGGACCCCTTTTTGTCAAGATATCTCACAGAGGACCCCCTTTTGTCATTTTCCCTAACAACAACGTTGTTACAATGATGATGAACAGCTCACACTATGCAGTACAAATGGGGGATGGGTGGTGTGCACCAGAGGCCAGTGGCCAGAGGAACGCCCTAAATAGGGCCTACAATGGCTATCTGAACTGTATGCCAGCAAGGGGCCCACCTGAGGGGGACAGCGACCCAGTGCAGCATCGTTGTCGAGGCCACAATGCTGGCTACGAGGAAGGAAGGCACCACCTTCATGCCAAGGAAGACTGCACGTGCACCGGACAGCAGGCCAGCATTAGCACAATGCTCCCAGACACATCCCACCAGGCGAGCAATACACAGCACTCAAGGCAATGCCATAGGCACAGATTATGCGTGCTCCACATTGCGAGTAAAACGTTGTATTCACAGCAGTGCTTTCCGTTCATGTCCACATGTTCTTGGGAAAACAACAACGCACAAAAACTCTCCAGCAAAGTACAATATCCTTGCAGTCTTTGGCACTCTACATTAGGTTGCATCTCGGCACATTGAACACAACATGCGGGTCTTTGAGGCAAGGCAGCCAGGCCCTAGGACCCTTAGGCACACAGGGCTGCCAAGTTTATATATCATTCCCTCGTGTTGCCACTGTGGCGCACCTCCCCTCTGACGCTGTGACCATGGTCCCCAACTTTTCCTTAACAGTGTGTTGCTGAAGCCCCCAGCAGTGCTCAGCATTTACAACCCAGTACGAGGTTGATGCCTTGCACGCGCACATTCTAGATGCGTTTCAGCGCGTTTTGACAAGGCCCCACATCGGAGGGTCTCACCAGCGTAAAAGACTGCCAGGGAGAGAAGAGCAGTGGCAGCCGGCACGGTGCAGTAGAATGAGCAGCAGCTGCGTGACCCTGCCGAGGGCCCTGCGGTCCACCTAAACTGCACTGGGCTGCTCACAGTCTCCGGAACCCTGTCTGACTGGCCGGCCACCCTGAGGAAGTCACAGTCAATGGCTTGAAACGATTTTCCGGCCAAATGAGTGCACGTGTTGCTGACGTGCACTGTTCTAGTGGCAGATTTGACCAAGGGAGCACATGTGGCCAAGGAAGCACTGCCGCACAACATTGTGGTGCATCTTTCGGTGCTGACTGGCTGGTTGACGATTTTCACAGTGCGGAGGGGATTTGGCCTGGCCCCCCACCCCCACCCACCTGACATCATCGTTGCAACACAGAAATAGTCCCGCATACAGCTGCCTAGTACAGGGTGCCTTTGCATGACCTGTTCCTCTCCTGCACTGTAACAAACGTTTTCCCCCTTTCCCCATTTGAGATCCCCACCTGATCGACACCTCCAGGAGCTCCTTCTTGAGGCTCTCCGGCAGGCCCGCCGCCTCGCAGCCGCACACCTCGCAGCGGCAGCACGCGCACGCCGAGCTGCACCGCCGCGTCCTGAACCACCGCTCCGCGCACTCCACGTGCAGGACGTCCAGCCCCGAAGAGCAGCTGCAGGCACACGCATCCACACGTCGATAATTCCGGCGCTGGAGTAGTCTGTGCTCGACAGATCGAGACGCGGAAAAAAGGAACCTCGCTGAAAAGGTGCCTCCGCTGGGGTTCGAGCCCAAGGAGCGCACGGGCAGCGCTTCAATACGCCGGAAACGGCTGTCCGGGAGGCCCAACGCCGGAGACAGCTCCATTGGGATGTCGGAGACGTCTTTGCCGCCCATCCCAAACCCGGGCGTTCGAGGTTGGAGCCCCGCGGCGGCCGCCCGAGTCTGACGGCCTCGCATTTCCGGCGCGAATGAGTCACCCCCCACCCCCCTCTCCTTCTAATCCCGCGCCAAGCTCAACCCCGCCCAGCCCTCACACTGCCCAAACGGACTGCTTCCGGCGACGCCCACCTTTGCTATTGAACCCCCCACCCCCACTCGTCAATCGTATCCGTCCTGTTTTGTCTCGGGGGCACCTCTAGATCTCCCCAAAGGTAGAGGAAAAGTTGGATCACGCATCGTCATTCTGTGTCATTCTTGCAACAACCTAAACCCCCCCCCGCCCCTACCCCCCTACCCCCACCCCACCCCACCCCACCCCACCCCACCAATCCACCAACCCACCAACCCACCAACCCACCACACACACGGCCCGCTGCACATATTGACTGAGAGGGGGTTCTCCATGATGTGACCGTTGTCTGGGTTTCTTTACCAAAACGCTTGGCACCCACACACAGAGACAGGCATCCAAGCAAACCCCTGCACCAACCCACGCACCCGCACTCAGGGCCCGATGTGGGCTTGCCCAGGAGCGGGTGCTCAATTGCATGGCCCTTGTCTTGGGATCCTTATTACTTCGAAGTAGCAGTCATCTCAACACCAACCCACACACAGACAAGGCTTCCAAAAACACCATTGTGCTGGATGTCTGCCCAGGAGGGGTTGCACCATTGTATGAAGCATGTCTCGGAACCTCCCACAAACCTGTCCTCCCCCCCCCCCGCGTCTCTATATCATCTTTTCACAGCATGGAAAAGAGCCTCACATACAATTGCCTAGGCGAGGGTGCCCTTTGTCTGACATGTTTATCTTCTCTTTTACAACAAATATCCCCCCCACACACCCACACACGGAGTACAAGTTTCTTGGTTCAGTGCGTGCATTATGCTTTCTATTTCGTTCTTGTCGACGGTGGCACCTATGGCGCTGCAAAGCGGAACAGGGCCCGCTGCATACTTGCTCAGGAGGGGGTGCTCCGATGTACGACACGCGTCTCGGGATCTTCAACATCTTGTCACCCACACACGGGCAGACAAGGCCACCAAACACACCCCACCCCGCTCCTCTTTCCGACACCCCAGCCCACACACACATGGCCCGTTGTGTGTTTGCCTGGGAAGGGGGGCTTCCATTGCGTGAACCGTGTCTCGGGATCTTTAACAAACATCTCGACACCCCACACGCGCAAAACAGCCGCTAAACACGGGAACCACCCCCTTTTCTTGACACCCCGGCCCACCTGCAGCCCAGCCTCAGCGCCCCGCAGCCCTCCAGGTCGCCGCCCGCCACGCCCTCCAGGCACACCCGGCACCTGTCCCCCCTCGCCGATTCCACTGACCCATCATCATCCTCCCTCGCGCACGCCGCGGAGCAGCACGCTGGGCGCGGATCGGCCAGTCCCTCGCTCGGCAGCCCGTCGCCGGTCGACGGGCCCGCCGCCCCTGCTCGCCTGCCGGCCGAGATCGCGCAGCCGTCGCGATGCGCCGCGTCCTGCGGTTGGCATTGACGTTGCCCGGATGGCATGGGAGCCTCGGAGGCGTCGGCAGACGCCTGAATCCTCTGACGCAGGGCCAGCCTTGTGCTTAGGGGGTGGCCGTGGACGCGGCTTTCGGCCTTTTAGGGACGCGGTCCTTCGAGTCCGACGTGTAGGCACGAAGGGATGGGGAGAAAACTTCAAAGGATGGTCAAGGCAGTTCCGCCAGGGTCAACGACGGCGCCGATCGCCCTGGGTCAGTTTCGACGGCCCGGCGGGTCAGTTTTGGAGCGCCTTGCCGCGGTTCGGGGGCGCCTGGGGGCTCTGGGGGTGTTTCGGTTCCCCCTGGTGGGCCCGGCGTTGGGCTTTGTGAGGTGTTGGTCGCCGATAGGCGGATATCAGGTAAGCATGGCATCAGGCGAAGAACAGTGTGGACGGAGTTTGATGTGGCCGAAAGCAGGGAAGCGGAGGATGACAGTACGGTACCTGAGTACAAGAGGGTCAAGGCCGACGTGGGCGCGTCACTCCCCAAAGCACGTGGTGCGAGTGTGATGATTGATCCTCGTGACGGCCTCTCTGGCGATGTTCTCGCGACAGGCGGCGCGTCCCGGGCTTCGGACCTTGGACGCCTTCCAACGCATCAGCGGTAATGCGCGCGGCGAATTTGCCCATGG